TTGTCTTCTGATAATAACTCTTTGATGGGTCCATAGAGTCTTTCCAATGGTAGCATACCTGTGGTAAAGAAGCATGGAACTGATACTCTTGGACCTACACAGTTTGCCAATACCCTGTGCTCTACACTCTTGAATCTATCATTTGATAAAAGCTGCAAACCCAAAAGAACTCAACCATAAATTTTATTTATTTATTTATTAAAAATAAAACCAAACTAGAAAACCAGATGGAAGAATATGAGTCATGTTCTAATACAATACCAGTAAGAGACGTAGAAGAAGAAAAGTTGTACTTGCCTGTAGAAGATCTCCTATGTTAACCACTAGAGCCCCAGGCATTGGAGGCACATCAATCCACTTGTTCTGATGAAGAACTTGGAGACCACCAATATGATCTTGCAGAAGGACTGTGAGGAAGACATTGTCAGCGTGCTTGCTTGCCCCCATAGTTAACTCTGGCTGTGGACATGAGGGATAGTAATGCCCTCCAAGCAAAAGCCCTAAACTACAATCTATGTCATTCAAGTAACTTGGCTTTAGCCCAAGCGCCTCGGACAGCAATTCGAACAACAACTTCCCCAATTTCATTACTTGCTTGGAGTACTCAATAAGTATGTCTCTACAAAAGATGAAAAACAGCAAAGCACATGAAGTTGTCATATATACATAATTCAATTAAACATTCCAGGGAGAGGCATTTAACCAAAATGGTAAGCTCAGCTGAATGGCTTTTGTTTCATGTTTAGAAAAGGAAAATGGCCTACTGTTGGAGGCTGAGTTTTTGCCACTTAACCCAAAAAAACTAGCCTGTTTGAGGCAAATGGCCTACTCATGTATAAAGCTCACATCAAACTCATTCTTATTCAATATGGGATTCTTGTTTGGGACATTTTACCCCTCTCCCAGACACGCAATAGACTTGTCACTGGCGATAGCAGACAAGGACTTAGGCCTGCTTTAATACCAAACTTAATCCAAAAGACCAACTAGTTTGGTGATGCTTTCAACCCATCCATATAAACCTCAGATGGGTGGTTCGTGTCCAATTCCGAAGCAAGATCAATGTACAGTAAACTTAAAATTAAGCTGGACGAAGTATACCATATCATCTAATTAACTCATCAATTTCAGGGATGGAATTTAAATCAAATAATTGATATCATCATAAACTTTCAATTATAGCAGAGAATTATAAGTTTCCTTGTCACATACCTGAATACTTCTGGCATGTCTTCTGGCTTAGCAGGATTAGGAGCCATGTAGCACCTAAAAGTATCCCTCCAATTAGTCGCCGGTGCTCGGTATAGATCAAAGTTGCTATTGTAGCCCACAGGTTTGAGCGGATCACGATTGTAAAACTGTTTCTTCACTTGAGTGTCTTGCTCAAAAAACCCACGTACACTATCCTTCATCTCCTCCAGAACACCAACCGGTATTCCATGGTTAGAAATTTGAAAGAATCCCCAAGTCTCTGATGCCTCTCCAACTTTCGCAACAATCTCGTTTCGTTTCGTTGGACTATCAAACTCAAGGCCTTCAAGGTCAATGAGTGGAATGCTAAACTGCGTAGCTTCTGAATCAACGTTGCTGTTGATGATGTACTTATCTGGTGGTTGATGAAAAATTCTAGGAACCTCAGTTATCCCAGCATCAACAAGGCCTTTCACACCTTCCTTTGTGTCATCAAAAGCCTTCAGCTCACTTTGTCTGTCGTAATTTGTATTGTTGGTAGCTACCATCTTGGCTTGGTGGATATCAGATTAGATTTGATTCAGGCCACAAGTGTATATTTTTGCAAAGAAGATCACTCTTTACTATATAATGAGTAGAGTGGGAAGACAATGCTTTTGCAAAGATCATAGAGCTCGTTGAAAATGCCAAAAATTCATTCGTTGACTTGATTTTTTTTTATTTTAAGAAATTTTAAAATTATCCTAAAAGATAGTCACACTCATATGTATTTTATTGTTTAAACTAAAGGATGCCGAAACACATCCGCATAGCTGCTTTTATATATATATAAATGAGCAACTTGTTGCATTTGTAGCCTTCGAATAGTCCAGGCCTAGGGATGGCAATGGCCGGGTAGGGGCCGGGTAGGACAATACCATCCCGTCCCTGCTCTCTATCCCCGCCCCTTCCCCGAACCAATCCCCATTTAATAGGTTTCGGGGAATCCCCGTCCCCGTCCCCGTCGGGGGACTATCCCCCATACCCGCCCCGAATTCCCGATTTTTTTTGCATAAAAAATATTTATCATACATTTTAACATTGTTTCATATTAAATTATCATTCAACACATTCAAATTAACTATAAAGTTCAACTCAACTATTCAAAATCACATCAATATGAAAATCCAAATAAGATTAGGAAAAATTAGGAGAGGGAGGTTAACTTAGGGTTAAACATAAATATTATAATTATATATTTATTTATTTAAATATAAACATATGTATTTTCGGGTCGGGTTTGGGGATGGGGACGTCAATACCATCCCCTCCCCATATCCGTCGGGGATTTTTCAAGTTCGGGGATCCCCGTACCCAATACCCGTGGCCGAGACAAAAGGGTCCAAATATTCCCCAGTAAGTAATAATTGTTTAATAGTAATTTGGTGAAAGTTGAAATAAAACGAGGTGTTAGTTGGATTAATCCAAATTTTTGGTGAGTGAGTTTTCCTCTTCTCTTTTTTAACTATGGCAAAAAATAAAGATAAGAAATGAAACATAAGTAATTTAATATTGGGTTAAAAGTCTTTTTAGTCACTAAGTTCTACACAAAAATTCAATTTGATCATTGAGAAAATAATTTAGCCAAATTAATCACTGCATTTCGCAGAGTTTACAGTTTATATTTATAGACTTATCTTGAATTTGAAGAGGAAAGCTTGATAGAATAATTAATCTCAAAGATAAATTTTAGAGCCGCCACTAGTGCCGCCTTGCCGCACGACGACACGTTCTTATATTGATCGTGAATTGTAAGCGTCGTTGATTGATAAGATTGGAATTCGCTAAAAGTTTTATTCTATACAAGATTTCTCAATTATAGACATAAGTGGCTTTGGATTTTTCAACCAAAAAAAAAATTGGTCTCATGTTCAAGGAAAATTTCTCTCACAAACCAAGGACACTCAGATTCCCTAACCCACTAGCAACCAATAATAACCTTATGAAAATCCCCTGAACACGTGAATCAATCAATTTTCTATTTAAAAGTTGGGTAAATAACTTTGCCCCTTTCTAAAAGAACCCTAAAAGTTGTCTATGAAAAAGCCAAATAAAAAACCCAAACCAAATTTAAACAAAATCAACAGCTTACCAATATATTTTGGTGCTCTATAATCTTGATTACGTCTCTTTGTCATCTGAAGTCACAGTACGTTCACAATCAATTAATCTGTGACTTTATACTTCACAATTTCAAATTCAACCCAAAATTTCCCTCAATACAATGACCAAATTATCATGGTTGATTTCACATTAATATATTTATTTTGGGTTAACTATATTCAGAGTTTGCATACCCGCATGTGATATTGATTATAAAATTTTAGTAACAGATCTAAGTTTGATCCTGATAACTCAAAGACTTCTCAGACTTCGTTGTTATATCAAAGTTGAAATAATCTGCTTTTGCAAAACGGATTCTATCTAACATGTTGACAAAACATGATTTGCAGGAGCATAAAGGATTCCATTTAACCACAATAAATATTATGAAATTTTGAAAAAGGAAATGAAAACCTTCGCAGCTATTATTGAAAAGCCATAATTCTCCACAAGAGATTATAAACCAGCAATACATGCCTAATGGGATAAGCATACAATTAATCCAATTTTATAACTTTGACATATGTCCTGCATCAAGCATGTACAAACCAATCATCTCAGAGGATAAAACAAATCTGTGAAAATAGCATTTGTTCAGCATTTGCTCCTCTATCTCCAAGTTCAGAGCTCCCATTAAGGCCTTTGTCATTGAAGTGGGCATTAAAGTCCCTTATAGTTGTCTCCCTGTACTTTGGAGGGTTGTCTTCTGATCATAACTCTTTGATAGGTCCATAGAGTCTCGGCGATGGTAGCATACCTGTCGTAAAGAAGCATGTCACCGATATTCTTGGACCGACACGGTTTGCCAGTACCCTGTGCTCTACACTCTTGAATCTGTCGTTTGATACAAGCTGCAAAGCAACCCCAAAAAGAGCTCCAATGTTAACCCAATTTTTCATTGAATTGATGTAAAAATAGTGTATGTCAACTTTTAGAAAGTATAAGATAACATCTCCCTTTTGGTTAATGAAAAAACCAACTGTGTACTTGCCTGAGCGCTGCAGGCTGAGCACTTACCACTTAACCCAGAAGACTAGCCTATTAGATCAAACTCAAGTTTCCTAATCCTACTAAGCCAGAAGACATGATGTAGCACATAAAAGTGTCCCTCCAATTAGTGGCCGGTGCGCTGTACAGATCAGGATTGCTATTGTACACCAAAGGTTTGAAGTACTCACTAGTGTAAAACTGTTTCTTCACGTCAGTGTCTTGCTCAAAAAACCCACGTACCCTACCCTTTAACTCCACCAAAAGATCAACAGGTATTCCATGATTAGCAATTTGAAAAAAGCCCCAAGTCCTGATGCCTGTCCAAGTTTTGCAACAATCTCCTTGCGTATCGTTGGACTGTCAAACTCAAGGCCTACAAGGTCTATGACTGGAGTACTTAACTGGGTAGCTAGTCGTGGTTGTTGTTGATGGAGTACTGATCCAATGGTTGATGAAAAATTCAAGGAACCTCAGTTATCCCGGCACCTTGGTGTCATCAAAAGCTTTTAGTTCACTTTCTCTGTCATACTTGGTTGGAACCTCATTTGGATTGGTAGCTACCATTTTTGTTGCTGGTAAAGCTTAAATTTCTAGTGGATATCAGACTAAATACATATGATTCAGATCAGAAGTGTATATTTTTGCAAAGAATATAACTTTGCAATGAGCACAAGACATAAAAAAGAAGTCCAAATATTCCCAATAAACTTTTACAATGAGCAGGCCAAGACAAATATCTACGTTAATTACTTTGACATATGTCCTGCATAAGGCATGTACAAACAATCCACTTTTGTTGGCAAACATGATTTAACAACTACATGAACACTATTATCTAACCACAACAGAGAGATTTTATGAAAATTTAAAGAAGAGGCTGTTAAATATTTGTTCAGGGCTGTACTGCTCCTCTATCTCCAAGTTCAAAGCTCAAAATGAGTCAAGGCAGAGGTCCCATCAAGGCCTTTCTCAATGAAGTGGGCATTATATTCCCTTATAGTTGTCTCTCTGTACTTTGGAGGGTTGTCTTCTGACAATAGTTCTTTGATAGGTCCATAGAGTCTCCCCAATGGTAGCATACCTGTGCTAAAGAAATTTGCAACCGACACTCTTGGACCTACACTGTTCGCTAGTACCCTGTGCTCTACGCTCTTGAATCTTTCATTTGATATAAGCTGCAACCCCAAAAGAACTCAACCATTAAAAAAATTAAAAAGAACAAGAAAAAAACCCAAACTAGGAAACCAGATGGAAGAATTTGAGACATATTCTGGTACAATAATAGTATATACTACTACAGCCTACTCCCTTTTAAGAAGTATAAATAACATCTCCCTTTCAATTAAAGAAAAACAATGATGAAGAAGAAGAATAGTTGTACTTGCCTGTAGAAGATCTCCAATGTTAACTACTAGAGCCCCATGAATAGGAGGTACATCAATCCACTTGTTCTGATGAAGAACCTGGAGACCGCCAATATGATCTTGCAGAAGGACTGTGATAAAGTCATTGTCAGCGTGCTTGCTTGTCCCCAGAGTTAACTCTGGCTGTGGACATGAGGGATAGTAATGGCCTACAAGCACAAGCCCTAAACTACAATCTATGTCATTCAAGTGACTTGGCTTTAGCCCAAGAGCCTCCGACAGCAACTCGAACAACAACTTCCCCAATTTCATTACTTGCTTGGAGTACTCAATAAGTATGTCTCTACAAAAGTTGAAACACAGAAAAGCACATGAAGCTGTCATATATATATATGATTCAATTAAAAATTGTAGAGCCAGGCATTTAACCAAAATGGTGAGCTGAACGGCTTTTGATTTATGTTTAGAAAAGGCAAATGGCCTACTGTCAGATGTCACCTACTTACTCATGTATAAACCTTGGATTAAGCTCATTCTTATTTAAAATATGGGATTCTTGTTTGGGACATTCTACCCCTCCCAGACACGATACAGCTTCATCACAGGCCATAACAGATAAGGAACTAGGCCTGCTCTAATACCACTTGTCATGGGCTAGCTAGGTGCTTGCCACTCAGCACAAAAATACCATTTGTTTGGAGATGCTGTCTACCCATATATATAAAACCCAGATGGGTGATTCGTATCCGAAGTGAGATCAATGTACATCAAACTTATCATTAAGTTGGACAAAGTATATCATATCATCTAATTAACTCATCAAATTCAGGGATGGAATTTAAATCAAACTAATTAATATCATCATAAACTTTCGAATGATAGCAGAGAATTATAAGTTTCCTTGTCACATACCTGAATACTTCTGGCATATCTTCTGGCTTAGTAGGATTAGGAGCCATGTAGCACATAAAAGTATCCCTCCAATTAGTCGCTGGTGCTCTATGTAGATCAAAGTTGCTATTGTAGACCACAGGTTTGAAGTGATCTCGAGTATAAAACTGTTTCTTCACTTGAGTGTCTTGCTCATAAAACCCATGTACCCCATCCTTTATCTCCTCCAAAACATCAATAGGTATTCCGTGATTCACAATTTGAAAAAATCCCCAAGTCTCTGATGCCTCTCCAACTTTTGTAACAATCTCCTTGCGTTTTGTTGGTCTATCGAACTCGAGGCCTTCAAGGTCTATGACTGGAACGCTAAACTGGGTGGCTTCTGAATCAAAGTTGTTGTTGATGGAGTACTGATCTGGTGGTTGATGAAAAATTCTAGGAACCACAGTGATCCCAGCATCAACAAGGCCTTTAACACCTTCCTTGGTGTCATCAAAAGCTTTTAGTTCACTTTTTCTGTCATAATTGGTTGGAACCTCATTTGTATTGGTACCTACCATCTTGGTTTCTGCTAAATCTTAATGTTCTAGTGGATATCAGATCAGAAGTGTATCTTTTAGCAAAGAAGATCACTTTGCAATGAGTGAAGTGGGAAGAAAACAATATTTTTGCAAAGACCATAGGCCAAGGATAATGCCAAAGTACTTTATAATATATTAGCAGAGTTGTGTTTTTCACATTAATATATTCATTTTGGGTTAACAATTCAGAGTACAGACAGATAATATTATACAATTCAACTTTCGTATACGGAAAAATGATATTGATTTTAAAATTTTAATAACAGGTCTATGTTTGATCCTAATAACTTCAACACTTCAAGTTTCCATAGTAGTAAAGCACTCGTATTCGTATATTATAAACAGGTATAGACAAATAATGCTCAGAATTCTGCTTTTGTTAAAGAAAAAAATTCTGCTTTTGTTGGCAAGCATGATTTTACCAGTGCATGAAGGTTTTTATCCAACCACAACAGAGAGATTATATGGAAGTTTGTAAAAAGAGATGAAAACCTTTGCAACTTTTATTGGAAAGCCATAATATTTCACAACAGATTATAAACAAACAATGTACTATAACCATACAATTATCTAACTTTAAACTTTGACTTGTGTCCTGCATCAGGCATGAACAAACAATCAACTTAGTATTGTGTATGAAGCAATATTTTCATGCCAAGTTATAAAGTAGACACCATTTGTTCATTGCAGTTGCTCCTATGCCTCCAAGTTCAGAGCTTAAAATGAGTCAAGGCAGAGGTCCCATCAAGGCCTTTGTTATAGAAGTGAGCATTATAGTCCTTCACAGTTGTCTCCCTGTACTTTGGAAGATTGTCTTCTGATAGCAACTCCTTAATGGGTCCATAGATTTGTGGCAATTCTAAAAAACCTGTGGTAAAGAAACTCGCAACAGATACTCTTGGACCAGCACGATTTGCCAATACCCTGTGTTCTACACTCCTGAATCTATCATTTGATATAAGCTGAAAGTCCAAAAGAATTCAATATCAGAAAACCCAAACTAGGAAACTAAATTGAAGAATTTGAGCCATATTCTAATGACTATAACAAAGGGACGGTGGGAAGCCCTATGCGAAAACTAAATTGAGGCCATGCTACTACACCACTGAAACTTTTCTCAAATTTTAAACAACAAGACATTATAAAAGAGATTTTTTTAAAAAAAATTCCCTATCCCGGGATATATCCTGGTTTATGAAAGTTTTCCTCACATTCTGGACAACCTAATACATGCGTGCAATCATAATGTAATAGTACCTTTTTAATTAAAAAAGAACCCAACTTTATCTCCTACAAAATACAAAAGAGGAATAAGAATTATAGTTATACTTTCCTGTAGAAGATCTCCAATGTTAACCACTAGAGCCCCAGGCACAGGAAGTACATCAATCCACTTGTTCTGATGAAGAACTTGAAGACCACCAATATGATCTTGCAGAACGACTGTGATAAAGTCATCGTCAGCGTGCTTGCTTGCGCCCAAAGTTAACTCTGGCTGTGGACAGGGGGGATAGTAATTGCATAGAACCTGAAGCCCTAAATTACAATCCATGTCATTCAAGTGACTTGGCCTCAGCCCAAGCGCCTCAGACAGCAACTCGAACAACTTCTTCCCCAACTTCATTACTTGCTTGGAGTACCCAACAAGCATGTCTCTACAAAATTGAAACCTAGAAAAACTAAGGCTCCGTTTGGATGGAGGGATTTGAACGAAGGGATTTAGATTTGACAACAAAGCTAAATTTGCTTCTTTTTTTTTTTTAAATTTATTTAAAGAATCACATTAGATTGAATGTATTCTAAATAACAAGACATTTGAAATGACTATATGGAAGGAATCATTTGAAATCCATTTATTTTCTTCCTTTCTTTCTTGTTCAATTCTTGGCATATATGGATTGTAATAGTCTATACATACAATTTTACCTTATAATCTCATCTAAATTCATAGATTCGGAATCCCTTCATTGAAATGGAGCCTAATATCATATTAAACCAGAAAATTATAAGCTTCCTTGTCACATACCTGCATACTTGTGGCAAGTCTTCTGGCTTAGGAGGATTAGGAGCCATATTACACAAAAAAGAGTCCCTCCAATTAGTCGCCGGTGCACTATAAAGATCGAAGTTGCTGTTGTAGATCACAGGTCTGAAGTGATCACGAGTGTAAAGCTCTTTCTTCACCTCAGTGTCTTGCTCAAAAAACCCACGTACCCCATTCCTCATCTCTTCCAAAACATCAACAGGTATGCCATGATTGGCAATTTGGAAAAACCCCCAAGTCTCTGATGCCTCTCCAACTTTGGCAACAATCTCCTTGCGTTTGGTTGGATTGTTATCATATTCAAGGCCTTCCAGGTCTATGACTGGAATTTTGTGCTGGGTTTTGGTGGGTTCTGAATCACAAGTGTTGTTGATGGGATACTGATCTACTGGTTGATGAAAAATTCTTGGAACCTGGGTTATCCCAGCATCGACAAGGCCTTTAACACCTTCCTTTGTGTCATCAAAAGTTTTTACTTCACTTTTTCTGTCATAATTTGTTATGCTTGGAACCTCATTTGTGCTGGTGGCTACCATTTTCGTTTGTGTCTGCAGGATGGTAGAACTAAAGCTTAGCAAACTAGATATGGATTGCCAAAGTTCAGACCACAAATGAGTGAGGTTGGAAGAAACTAAAAGCAAGATATTTGCCAAGAGTCAAGACTGTGGGGGCGAGTTGACGCTATAGACATTTTTGTGGTGGCCAAAGCATATACAGTGCCAATTCATTCTTTGGATTGGTTGGCTATCACTGAAACTAGAGGTGAGAAATTTCATGATTGAAAGAAAACTGAAGGACATCTCGTAACACATATAGCTATTTTATTTTCATTTTTATTTTTAATACAAGCGATAATCTAAACTACGAGGAGAATGGGGGTTTCTCACACACACTCTACTAAGGTCCCATGGGAGTTTGAACCTGAGAACACTAATCAGCAAGTCAAGGCCTTTTTCCACTTAGCTAGACCCTATTCACATGAAATTTCTCAAGCGATAATCTGAACAAGATGCTTAGAATCCTATTCACATCCAGCTTCTCATTTGGGTAGCAGCCACCGATATGCTCTGACACAGGCTTCACATTTGTTCTCTTAATTTTTAGTTCTGCAGGATCAAACCTATGGGCTTTTTTTTCATGATATCTCGTACAACCCGAAGAGAGGCATAAAGAGTTGTACTTCAACTTTCGCCTTTCCCCTCAAACGAATCAGAAAGAAAAGAAAACGAGTTACACGAGGATAATACATTTTGCCAAGCTTTATAATTTTTACTAAAATTAGTAGGGTCCTAATTCTGTTAGTTGACTACTTTTTCAAAAAATACATTCCATCTCTTAGTTCCAACTTCTCTTCAGAAACTAGACCCGTTAAGAAACTTTGCAGCTGTTGGAGAGTTTTGTCATAAGGAGGATCGGCTATGCAGAACATCTGCAGGAATGAATGTGTTAAGAAATCTATTAAAAACAGCAACAGGACATATAACTTTCTTACCAGATATCATGTTACTTGGCAGAAACCAAATATCACGGGGAGTGTTAAAACCATCCTTACCTTGAGAGTATTATGAATTCGATCTAATGCCATGCTTCCAAAGTTTGTGAGCATCCCCAAGATAAATTTCTGCCAAAAACCAAATACCATTTGAAAAGCTGAGAACACAATGGCACCATGCATTTTTATCTGTTTACATGTTTGAGATTGATACTCAAGACTGGACAAAGTTAACATGGTTATTATAAATGGCAAGCTATCAATTATGTGTTTCCTTTCCCCTCCCCTTAGTGGGAAAAGATGGGAGTTAAATTTCTACTTCACTTGATTATTTCAGCTATTGACAAGTTGGTAAAATGTGGAAGATAGTGTCATGAGCAGCAATTTTGTTGCCCCCTTTTGGTCTTTATAAAGAAGATCCAGTATGAAAATGAAGATCCAGAGATGGAAAATTAGAACTTAAGGCCGTAATACCTAGAGATGGAAATATACTGAAAGCAAAAGAAGATCCAGTATGAAAATGAATTGGTAGATCCTTCCTAAACAACTCAACCCATTGGGATGGATTTTAAAAGTATACCAAGATGTGGTCAATCTCGCACACATCACATACCTCATACACAGTCATTTCCTTGCGCAGTTGATCCTCCACAGAGGCTACAGAGCTCTCCCCCTCTTCATCAGCAACTATAAGATCCTCGATGCTTCCATTCGTACCACCGTTTTTACCACTGTCAACCATACCTTCCATTAGTGTAAACACGTGGTCTTCAGAGTCTGCCCCAAGTGATTCTGCAAGAATTCCCTTCAATAGGAAAAAAGAGGCAAACATATGAGTTTTCCTCTTGACTTCCAAAGCTTAAAACTTCAATAAATAACAAGAACCCATTTGAAAAAAATTTAGCTGGTGCTTGACAGGAAGGGGAACGTCCGACTTTACAATAAAATGACACATCATATCGTTCAACTCGAAATTCAAAATGATTAAAGGTAACTAAGAAAAAAAAAAATCTGTAATCAGTAAAAGTAACCACTGCTGCTGAGAAATCCAGAGTTTCTAATACTCTTTACTCACCAAGACAGATGACTCAAAACTGGGGTTTTTCAAAAGTATGCCAGGGTTTGTGTTCAAAGACAACAAATAAATCTGAAACACGAAAGTATTAGTCTATCAAGCATACCTTGCTTATCCAGAAATTTATCCTGCGATTAAGCATGTCTGTTGGAACCCCAATTGCAGCTGCAAGATTCTTAGAGGTCCAGCTGAAAGTATAAGATATCAGTATGGCAAGAAAATAGTAAACAACATAAAATCCATTAAGATATTTCTGACACTACCTTGTCTGATCTTGAAATTGCATTATAATTGCTGCATGCACCGGAGCAACTACGAATTGCACTGCTCTATCTTCAAATTGCAACTCCAACTAAAACAGCACCAACCATCATAAGTATTGTTAATGTCAATTCAGTGATTCAGGAAATATAGAAAATCTCAGCAAGTCAAAACTCTCCTAATAGAAAGGCATGAAATGACGTAGTGTAAGCATCTTACCTTAACTGTACCAAGACTTTTCTTCCATAATAGTTTACGAGGGGTCTTGATTTCATTAAACCTCTTTGCATAATCAGATAGCAGTTGGTCAACAGGTCCAGGTACATTAAGGGACTCATCCTGAAATTTGGTTTAAAGGTTAATCAACATTTACTGAAATTTTGTTACAAATAGAAAATGTAGTTCTAATGACAATAACAAATGCTAATGAGATGTATATAGTACAACGGACTAAAGACATCAGTTTATGCACAAGGTTCTTGCTAGTCAATTTAGAATGAGTCAAACATAAGTTGCCTAGATACTCATGCAGAGAATATGTCACCAACTGACTAATAACTTTGGTGAAAGAAACAGTGGGCAAGGAAAATGCTGAAGTTAAGTGAATCAATAGAATAGGTGGGAAATTTTAAAAGAATTAACTTAAATTAAAATGCTTGCAAGAAATCATAACTAATGGGGGCCTCGAGGAGCATTAAGCTATTAAAGCCGCTCCTAAATGCAGAAGAAACAACCAAAGTGCAAGCGATTACGTTTAAACATAATCATGTTCATATGCATGGTATCACTGAATGCAGAGAAGTGTGCCAAGAAGATATTTCAAATTATGAGAATGTAAATCCTCGATCCGTCTTTTCCCTCTAACAGAAATTTCGAAATAAATGACATTACCATTGGCAACAATTCATTACCTGGATTTGGGGCCAGAAATTTGAAGAGATGATTGTTGCATCAAAAACATCCATGGAAACCCAGTTATCTCCCAGCTCAGAACCTAAGACATCCACCCCACGTTTGTGGAATAAAATAAAATAATTAGTCTTCTGGTAATGCTGGAGAGAATAGCCCAAAAACCAATCATCTGTAGGGAAGGCGTAAAGTTTGGAAGCTACCTGCTTGAGATGTCTGAGTTATGGTTGCTTTAATATTGCCATTAGTCCTCTTAGAATCAATCAGATCATTCAGCATAATTTCACATTTCTGCATGCTGCTCTCTCCAAAATGTATCTGAAAGAATGATTACAAACTATGAACATTAAGGTAGACAGTTTGAAGACTACATGAACAACCAATACACCCAACTAAACAAAGAAACTGCAAGCTTAAATATAAAAAAAACCACTTGCCTTGAGGAGTTCAAGAGTGCGTATCTCTGTATCAATGTCATAGTCAGATTTGTTGAGAAGCTTTTCAGCCAGCATAACACGGTATTCATTAACTAGTTGATCTTTTGAACCAATTATGCCAACAATCATCCCAAGTATGTCAACCTTCCTTCGGTTCCTGCTGCCCTTCAAGGGGTCAGCTTCTACAGGGTCTGGCTCCCAGCTGAAACGGCAGAATTATAAAAATAAAATAAAAATACATCACCTGAGTATGCAAAGAACAAAAATATAGCATCTGATTGGATTTGAAAGCAACTAAATTACATTCCATATAACTTGCAAACAACTATAATACACTTTCATCCACGGCCTTGCTTATGCACATACCGTGAAGCATTTATCCATGCCTGCTTGTCATCAGTGTGGAAATCGTCATCAAGACCAGCGTTCTCTTGATTTTCTTCATCTCTGTTTAATTCTTCAAGAAGGCTATCCCCAGTGTTTCCAGATACATTCGGATTCCCACCAGTCCCATCTGTAAGCATGGTCACAATGCACTTTATGGTGTCCTTCCTTCCCCTCAAATAGTCCCTAATTGGTTCTCCAACTGCTTCGAGGAAAACACCTGCTGGATCTATTGTCCGGAGTGCTTTAATTGTTGAAACATATTGATGCAAAATGTCATTGGTTGAGGCACCTGCAGTTAGCAAGCGATATCGTAGTGCAGAGATAAATGACTCGACCAGCTTAGAATGTTGTCCAGTGTATTCAAGACACTGTTTCAAATCTTCAATTGCAGGAGAGCTGCAAAACCCCAAAAGGAAAACAAATGATCAAGGAAAGCCACAATAAATGAAGGTTATTTAAGTGATTGTAAACCAACCCCCCAACCACCCCCCCCAAAAAAAAAAATATATATATCATCGTGGATTCCAACAATTGCAAACCAATACCTGTCAGGGTAATCCACAATAATCTCAAATAATTTAGTTATTCTTAAATCTTGCAATGTTTCGTATGCAAAATACTCTAGTCGCAACTGCCATCTAACAAGTCCTTCAGATGGGGTGTCAATTCCAGGATAAAATGTAGAAGGACATGAAGCCAAAGGTGACTTGAGACCAGATGAAACACTGTCATAACTAACAGAGTCACCAAGATAAGCAAGAAGGGCATGCAAGAACTGAAGAGGCACAGCCTGCAGAATACACATTCAAACATTAGGAAAACTTTGGCCTTTGAAAACATAAAGTCGTATTGGATAACTAAACCATTTGTGCGTTATTTGCGGCTTCACAGTTCTCCACAAAAATGGAAATGAAACACAAGCATATGAAAGCCACCTGAATCCACCCCTTGATGGACTCCAAAACAGAAATCCGGTAATCATCACCAGCAAGATCATGAACTTTGGCCTGCCATTCAAACAAGACAAATTAGAAGTTAGCAAGACAAATGAAAAGGTAGGATGTTTAACATATAACATTATACTGAATCCAACAGCAGAGATTATGATCACCTTTAGAAACAAAAAAATTGCAGAAGCATAGGCATCTTCAGTCATAGATGTAAACCCGAGACTTCTAAGATCGCGAACAACCTTCCCTATGTTGTTCACCAATTTATTGTTGTCCAAGAACCTCCCTTGGGGATAGCATTCATCAATCTCCATTTGTCCACTCCTGTATGAGACTTTGCATTTGTCATCTAAATCCATATCATCTTTATCATCATCATCATCATCATCATCCTCATCATCATCATGAGGGAAGTCTCCACCCATTATAGTACTCAGTTCCTCCAACCTTCCCTTAAAATACCAGTGGAGTATCTCTAAGAATTAAGAACACGGAGGCATTAAAAATAAACGCAAGTAATTACAAATTAAAACAAACAAACAAAAAAACATGTAAATTGAACGTCAAGATCTTTTATTTATTTATTTTTGTACCAGGAAAATGCCGGGGAAGAGTGGCCATAAGAACTGAAGACACTGACATTTGGTACTTAGCAAACAGCTCAACTCTGTAATCATTAGAATCATGGCTTCCATGGTTGTAAGACTGCAAAGC